GTAGCATCACCTACCATGCCTCTGTCTTACCTACCATGCTCTGTCTTGCCTGCACCACCTCTTGTCTTACCTACCATGCCTCTGTCTTTACCTACCATGCCTCTGTCTACCTATGCTCGCATCACCATGCTTGTTCACCACCATGCTTCAGCATCACTTACCATGCCTCTTCTTGTCTTTTACTTACCATGCCTCTGTCTTACCTACCATGCTTTCAGCATCACCTACCATGCCTCTGTCTTACCCCACCATGCCTCTGTCTTACCTACCATGCCTCTGTCTTACCTACCATGCTCTGTCTTACCTACCATGCCTCTCTGTTCACCATGCCCAGCACTCTCAACCACCATGCCTCTGTCTTACCTACCATGCCTCTCTGTCTCACTTCCGCACTATGCTCTGTCTTACTCTACCATGCCTCTGTCTTACCTACCATGCTCTGTACCCACTCATGCCTCTGTCTTTACCTGCACCATGCTTCTGTCTTTACCTACCATGCCTCTGTCTTACCTACCATGCTTGTCTGCACTCACCATGCTTCTGTCTTACCTACCATGCTCTGTCTTACTCACCATGCCTCTGTCTTGCCTACCATGCCTCTGTCTTACCTACCATGCTTCAGCATCACCTACCATGCTCTGTTCACTCCACCATGCCTCTGTCTTACCTTACCATGTTTCCAGCATCACCTACCATGCCTTGTCTTACCTACCATGCTCTCTTTCTACTTACCATGCTCTGTCTTTACTTCACACATGTTTCTGTCTTACCTACCATGCCTCTGTCTTGCCTACCACGGCTTACGCATCAGTTTCTCTGTTGTCTTACCTACCATGCCTCTGTCTTACCTAATAATTTCTGTCTTACCTACTATGCTCAGTATCACCTACCACACCTCTGTGTTATTACCATGCCTCTGTCTTACCTCCACTATGCTCTGTCTTACCTACCATGCCTCTGTCTTGCACCTCACCATGCTTCCAGCACTCACCATGCCTGTCTTACCTACCATGCCTCTGTCTCATCACCTACCATGCCTCTCTGTCTTACCTACCATGCTCAGCATCACTTACCATGCCTCTCTGTTCACCTACCATGCCTCTGTTCACTGCACTATGCTCTCTGTCTTACCTACCATGCCTCTGTCTACTTACCATGCTTCAGCATCACCTACCATGCTTCTGTCTTACCTACCATGCCTCTGTCTTGCCTACCATGCCTCTGTCTTTACCTACTCATGCCTCTGTCTTGACTTACCATGCTTCCAGCATCACCTACCATGCTTCTATTTACCTACCATGCCTGTCTTACCTACCATGCCTGTCTTTACCTACCATGCCTCTGTCTTACCTACCATGCTTCTGTGTCACCTACCATGCCTCTGTATTACCTACCATGCCTCTGTCACCTACCATGCCTCTGTCTTGCACTATGCCTCTGTCTTTACCTACCATGCTTCTGTCTGCCTACCATGCCTCTCTGTCTTACCTCACCATGCCTCTGTCTTACCTACCATGCCTCTGTCTTACCTAGCCTCCATGTCCCTCTGTCTTACCTACCATGCCTCTGTCTACCTACCATGCCTCTGTCTTACCTCACCATGCCTCTGTCTTGCCTACCATGCCTCTGTCTTTCCCACCATGCCTCTGTCTTACCTACCATGCTCAGCACTCCACCCACCATGCTCCTGTCTTACCTACCATGCCTCTGTCTTACCTACCATGCCTCTGTCTGCTCACCATGCCTCTGTCTTACCTACCATGCTCTGTCTTACTCACCATGCCTCTGTCTTACCCACGACACTTGTCCTTTCACCATGCTTCAGCATCACCTACCATGCCTCTGTCTTGACCTACCATGTTTCACACTCACTGTCTTGTCTTACCCACTATGCTCTGTCTTACCTACCATGCTTCAGCATCACCTACCATGCCTCTGTCTTACCTGCTACATGCTTCTGTTCCACCTACCATGCCTCTGTTCACCTACCATGCCTCTGTCTTACCTACCATGCTTCAGCATCACCTACCATGCCTCTGTCTTACCTACCATGCTTCCAGCACTCCACCTACCATGCCTCTGTCTTACCTACCATGCCTCTGTCTTACCACCATGCTCTGCACTCTGGCCTATGCCTCTGTCTTACCTACCATGTTTGTTCACCTACTATGCTCTCTGTTCCACCTACTATGCCTCTGTCTCTGTTCACCATGCCTCTGTCTTACCTACTTATGTTTGTCTTACCTACTATGCTTCAGCCTCTCCATCACATGCCTCTGTTCACCACTATGCCTCTGTCTTACCTCCACCATGCCTCTGTTCTTTGCCTTCCATGCTCTTGTCTTACCTACTACATGCCCTGCATCACCTACCATGCTTCTTGTCTTGCCTGCACATGCTTCTGCATCACCATCATGCTTCTGCATCACCTACCATGCCTCTGTCTTACCTACCATGCTCTGTCTTCACTATGCTCACTATGCTCTGTTCCACCTACCATGCTTCAGCATCACCTACCATGCTTGTCTTGCTCATCTACCATGCCTCTGTCTTGTCTTACCATGCTCTGTCTTGATTACCATGCTTCAGCATCACTTACCATGCCTCTGTCTTACCTGCACCATGCCTCTGTCTTGCTTCACCATGCTCTGTCTTACCTGCTCATGCTTTGCAGTCATCACCTGCTCATGCTCTGTCTCACTCATGCCTGTCTTACCCACCATGCTCTGTCTTACTCTACCACTTCTGTCTTACCTACCATGCCTCTGTCTTTACCTACCATGCTTCAGCATCACTCTACCATGCCTCTTTGTTCTGCCTTACCATAAGCTTCAGCATCACCTTACTTGTCTTACTCACAAGCTTCAGCACTCACCATGCCTCTGTCTTTACCACCATGCTTCTTGCCCTACCATGCCTCTGTCTTGCATGCTCTTGTCTTACCTACCATGTTCTGTCTTTGCCTACCATGTTTCAGCATCACCTACCACTATGTTCTTGTCTTGCACTGCTTCAGCATCACCTACCATGCCTCTGTCTTACCTACAAGCCTGGCACTCACCTACCATGCCTCTGTCTTGCCTACCATGCCTCTGTCTTGCTACCATGCTTCCAGCATCACCTACCATGCCTCTGTCCTACTCTACCATGCTTCAGCATCATTTCCACCATGCCTCTGTCTGCCCACTGATGCTTCTCTGTCTTACTTCCATCATGCCTCTGTCTTGCCTACTATGTTTGTCTTACCTACCATGCTCTGTCTTGCTCTACCATGCCTCTGTCTTAATGCACCATGCTTCTGCATCACCTACCATGCCTCTGTCTTGCACGCACTATGCTTCAGCATCACCTACCATGCTCTTGTCTTGCCTACCATGCCTCTGTCTTGCCTACCATGCCTCAGCATCACCTACCATGCCTCTGTCTTACCTACCATGTTTGTCTCACACACCTACTATGTTTCTGTCTTGCACCATGCTCTGTCTTACCTACCATGCCTCTGTCTTACTTGACCATGCTCAGCATCACCATGCTCTGTCTTGCCTACCATGCTCTGTCTTGCCTACTATGCTCTGTCTTACCTACGTTTCAGCATCACCTACTATGCTCTGTCTTGCCTGCCATGATAAAGTGCAACTGAACGAAGCACTGT